AAAGAGGGCCTAGGCCCTCCCCCAAAATGATGTGACAGACTTTGATGATCCCCTGTGGAGTGCCTCACTATCCTTGGGGATTGGGTGGGAAAGTGGGTGGGGGAATTGGTGGGGGGTATGTGAGGATGGGAGGGTGAGGGAATGGGGGATTGATATGTAAAATAAGATAGAAAGTTCTAAAATAAGAAAATAAATAAGTAAATGTATAAGTCAAATAGAAAAAGAATCTCAAAGGCTTGTCAGGCTTGGTGACCAGTGCTGTTCCTGAGACTCCGCTGTGGGAAAATTCCTATTTTGTTGCTTTCCCTTCTCCTGGCTATTCTCAGGATCCAGTTTCTAGGAGTCAGAGATCAAATCCAGGGCCTTGAACATGTTAGGCAAGTGCTGTATCATGCATGAATTACTTTCCCAGCCCCTGGCTTCTCAGACTCACATGTAGCCAGCCTCTGCCTCTCAGGCTTTCCTCTGCCAGTTCCGGTCCCTCCCAGGCACCAGGCTCAAGGTCCGCTGTAAGTCCTCAGCCCAGACCTCCTCCTCCAGTGCTCCCGTGTATTTGATTTTGACTAAACTCAGGCAGCACACTCCCTAACCCTCTTGTGGCCAGGTCTGGCAGCAGAGCCAAGAGACACAATGAGGTAACTCATGGAGAAAGGGCTTCTTCTCACCACATAACCCTGTGGCTGAGTGCTACACATGAATGCTTCTCTTTAGCATAAACCCAATTACCAAAACTCTTTGTGGAAGCCATATTCATACTTCTTCGTTTTCTTTCACTGGTCCCCTTCCCATCCCAGACCGGGTGGATAAAAACCAGTACATCACCCAATTTTATTCTCTCCACCGCTAACCCCTCTGCGAAAACTTCATTTTTTTGCATGAATTCTTAAGTTTTGGCCTCTGATCTTCTGTTGTATCCCTAATAGGGAGGTCTCTGTGGCAGCCTCCTGGCTTTGCCATGCTCAAAGATATCAGAAAGAAGCAGGCTTTGAACCAGGTTCTCAGATCTGAGTTCTCCTGGACCTGACTTGTCATTCTTGTCTGAAGATGACCTTTGCCTGCAGGCTAAGCTAGTGACTTTCACGCCTTTCCTTATCCCTTTTCATTAGAAGTGTTTGCAGAGGCCATTCCAGGGCACTCAGGGGAGGTAAGAAGGCACCAGCAGCAGCTCTCTCCTGTAACCTGGGGGAGGAACATGAGGGACAATGTGACTTTCAAGTATCAGATCCATTGCTATGCCATGAAGCCTTGGTCGTGGGCTTGGCAGGACCCACTTACACATTTCTGGTTTTAAGCAATGTGTTACTTCTGGAACTCAGATGTGCTTGCAAGTCGAGAGCATGATGTCATAGCATTCTTTGAGAATGGGATTTCATTCATGGTAATAAATCAGGGAACACAACTACTGTCCCATCGTAGTTTTGTATCTTTAAAAACAGTATTCTTTTAAAATGTAAATTAACTTACAGAGTAATCTCGGGCTTTGATTCATCTCCTGGCCTAGCTTTCCTGCTGTTGCCTCTAGTGATAACTTCCACTTCTGCTTTCCCCCACTCTCCTCCCTTAAGGCCTCTTTTTTCCTCCCAGTCACACAGGCCTCTTTCTAGTTTCTGGGCCTTTAACCATATTTAATTCCTCTAGGATACACTTATTTAGCTGTTAGAGGCTAAGATGTGCATATGAGAACATACGGCATTTATTTTTCAGAGCCTGGCTTTGCATCTTTTTTAACAAAGCTATGCTTTTTATTCATGTTTCTTTTTAAAGTAGTAAGAATTTAGTTTCATTCATGCTAGGCATGTGCCTTACCACCTCTAGTCCATTGTGTGTTGTGTCCCTGTCACCCCTCCCCCGCCCCCCACACCTTTTAATTTTTATTTTACTTAGTTTTTTAAAAGTTAACATTTAAGAAGACTGGTCATGGTGGTGGCACACACCTTTAGTCTCAGCACTCAGGAGGCAGAGGCAGGAGGATTTCTTGTGAGCTTGAGGTCAGACAGGTCTACAGCTAGGGCTGTTAACACTGAGAAACTGTCTCTAACCCTGCCCCTCAAATTACATTTATTTATTTGTGTATATATGAACTTTGTGTGTCCTTTGCTGGCCATGTGGTGGTCAGAGGTCAATTTGTTTTTTTTCCTTCCACCGGGTGGGGCCTGGGGTTCAAACGCAGGTTGCTGAGCTTTGTGGAAAAAAGCATTTACCTGCTGAGCCATCTTTCCACCCACGCTTCCTATTTTTAACATTTTGCTTTTATTTCATGTGTAGGGTGTGTTGCCTGTGTGTGTGCGTATGCACCACGTGTGTGTTTGGGGCCTGCATGGACCAGATGTGGGGCAATAGATTCCCTGGAACTGAGTTTTAGGCAGTTGTGAGCCACCATAGATCCCCAGGAAGAGTAACAACTGTTCCTAACCACTGAGCAACCTCTCCAGGTCCCCTACCTTTTGTTTTGGAGCTAGGCCCTTTTGCTAAATTGCTTAGGCTGTCCTCAAACTGTAATCTTCCTCGATCATCCTTTATAGTATCTGGGATTAAAGGTACTACCAGGGTCAGCTAAGGTGTAATTCTTTGAGAATTACACTATTGTAGTCCAGGCTGGTCTGGAACTCTTCACTCCTTCTGCCTCAGTCTCCTAAGTTCTGGGATAACAAGGATGTGCTATCACACTCAGGTTTGTTTATTTGTTTTAGAAAATGTTTAGATGTTTTATATTCTGGAATCTCATATGCAGGATGCAAGGAAAAGTAACAGCTTTTTCAGATGGACAGACAGTTCTCCTGAGCCTGTTGAATTACTCATTACTCTGCTCTCTGTCTCAGTGATCTATTCATGTTTATCTCTTTGTCATTATCACATGGCTGTGGTCACTGTGACTTTAGAGGACACTGCTGCCTGGTAGGGCAAGGCCTCTGTTAGTGCCTCTCCTTTTTTCCTTCAAAGGTTCTTGGCTCTGCACTGGTGTTTAGTCTCCTAGATGACTTTTAGAATCAACTTGTCAATTCCTAAAATCTTCCTGTTGGGACTGGGATTCAAATTGTATTGAACTGACGTCATTATAACTCTGATTTTCCTCATCAAGAACATGATTTGTTTTCATTGGCCAGGTCGCTTTCAGGGCCATCCAGTTCTTTGTTTTCTTATGGGTCTGATAATCGCTCAAAGTGTGTGTGCTTCTTTTTAGTAGCTTTAGTTACACAGGAATTTCTTTTTCCCTTTGACTAAAGATTTTTCTCTAAAATAACAATTTTCAGTAAGGGAGAGAGAGAGAGAGAGAGAGAGAGAGAGAGAGAGAGAGAGAGAGAGGGAGAGAGGAGAATTCCTTGAAGGGCAGCCAAGGCTTTGCCTGCAAGCCAAGGACAGAGAGGGGAGTGGGCCTCACAAGGAGGATGGAAACGGGACTGTTGTTTACTCTCCTGCTGCTGCTTCTCGTAGCTTAGTTTTCCTCTCCCCATTACAGTTCCATTCTCTTTGTTCTTCTCTGTCTTTTACCTTTCTGGAAGCACTGCAGTGTAGAGCAAACCTGGCTGTCGGGCTCCCCACACAAATGGAGGATTCTCAGTAACTGTGGTTTTGGGGAAGCTGGCTAAAAACAAAAGTTTCAAGGCACTACATCAGAACATCAAAATAATGCTGTTTGTTTGTTTATTTATTTATGAGAAGTTGACTTGATAGTTAAAGAGAGAGTTCCTCCTTCTCCATAGCCCGTTTTAGGTGATCGGTAAACAGGGACTGATGATTCTCATGTTACGGGAATATTAATTGCACCAAATGTACTGGGTCCATGAGATTATATCCAGGAAGTTTCAGAATGCCAGAGCAGCCCTCCACCAATGAGCTATCTACCTCTAGCCCCAAATTTGACCACTTGAGATAAAGATGATTGATCCTAATCCTACTCTTAACTTGCCTTTTCATAAAAAAATAATTGTGAATGTTTCGTGAATGTATGGATGCTTTGCCTGAATGTATGTCTGAATGCATGTGCAGTGCCCATGGAGGCCACAAGAAGGTGTTGGCCCCTGGAACTGGAGTTACAGATGGTTGTGAGCTGCTATACTTAGGTGCTGGTCCTCTGGAAGAACGGCCACTTAACCACTGCAATCATTCATTTTAACTTTCTTTCTTTTTTTGTGGAAAGGGTTGCTTCATAAAAGACAGTCCCCTCCCAAGCCCTAACGATTCCATCTAAATAAATGTTTTTCTAATGTAGTCCAGCAGTTGATCTCAACTGCCAGACCAGGAGACGGGTAGAAGTTACAAAGGCAATTTGGAAGCTGGAAAACTTGATGGTCTTGCTGTCATTACTCATTGAATGACCTTCGCAGGTAAATAACCTAACCTCTGTGAATATATTTCCTTATTTTCAAGCCTAGGACAACTACTTCTTGTTTGGGATGTGCTGAGTTGTACACAGTTTAAACAAACAAACAAACAAACAAACACCAAAAAACGGGTTCAGGTAGTTAATTTTTGATTGTGAGACAGGGTCTCACTATCTAGCCCTAGATGACCTGGAGCTCACTATATACATCCGGCTGGCCTTGAACTCATCGAGATCTGCCTGCTTCTGCCTGCAAGGCACTGGAGTCAAAGACTAGGGTCCAGTTCGAGAGTGTGCAAAACCTTAAGGAAAAATAATAAGTCTAGAGACTGGGGACTACGACGGCAAAGGGAATTTGAGAGGGAGCATCCCTCCCTGGCTGACACTAAAGAACTTCCCGAGGACAGGGTTGTTTAGCTAGAAAACCAGTATTTGTTTTGGATGAGGTTTTTTTCCCTACAAATTCCAAACTTTGCCTTCCCGCCCAGTCTGCAAACATGGAGTCAGGTTTCGCTCTCCGCCGAAGGGGCCGCCCGGAGCCAAGCTGGAGCCGGGGGCCAGGATAGGGGTTCTGTCCTTGATCCTCAAGTCCTGGTTGACACATCAGCCCGCCCTGGGCGCGGCTTCCGATAGTGGAGGCGGGCTTTCCGGTAGTTCTGCTTTCCGGGGCGGGACTTCCTGTCCCTAAGGAGTGTGGCAGCAAAAGTGGTTGGAGTGCCGATCGCGCGAGTCCATGGGCTCCCGAAGCCCTGTGTTCGTGGAAAGGGGGTCCAAGGAGACGTTCTTCATAGCTTCTTCTTGCTTTTGTCATTACGCGACGCCTCCATTTACGCGAAAACTGTGGGCTTTTGTCGCCACCGCCCACCTGAGGCTCTTCCGCTTCCCCTTTTCCCAGGCTCCGCCCCCAGCGTCCTGTGGCTATGACGACCGCTCCGAGGGACTCTGTAGTGTGGAAGCTTGCGGGGCTGTTGCGGGAATCGGGTGAGTGGACTTCCGACTTATTTCCTTTGAACGTCGTGGGTGTGTTCCATACCTTCCAGAAACACCGAGAGTCACTGAGTCAGCGCCGGCGGGGTCACGAGGTCTTAAGAGTCTTCTCATTTCTCTATTCTTTTCCAGTCCTGCCTTTGACAATCTAAACTCTAGCCATTACTAGGATCACTTAGCTCGGCAGAGGGAAGGGATCATTACTAGACTAAACACCTCGAGACAAGAGCGTAACCACTTGTACAGAAAGCCAGCAAGTATAGCACCTTAAACACCTGAGATTTGGAGACCCACATAGGTTAGTTCCAACCCCAGACTTGGATACGTTTTTATAGCCTCAGTATTCTTCGCAGGTAGGCTGTCGAAGTGATTGTACTTAACTCAAAGATACCAGCATTTTAGTTAGCTTAGTTAGTGCGGTGTATGCATACATAATAAGTGTTCAAAGGAGATAGTGTTACTGTAATTGCTTCCCCCAGTGCCTGGGCGTGGTGAGCTTACAGTGTTATTTGTGACATGGTTGTGGTGGAAACACACTTTGACTTGATATCAAAGACGTATTAGTTGTCAGTTGGATGATCACAATCAAGATGGTACTTTGTCCTATCTGTAAGGTGGGGTTAATAGTTCTTTTGGGGATGATGAGATTGACACGAGGCACCAGAGTCGTTGGCATGTGTTACCTTGTTAACATCAGTGCCCGCTATCTCTACACTCCTACCATGAGACTGTGTAATCTCTCGGCAGCAATTTCATTTTTCTGGCTTCTATCAATAATTACTCACATGCCATGCCTTTTCTAGACTTCCGAGAGACTCCTTGAATCATGTCTCTGTCTATACTCAGTGTCTAGTACATAGAAAATCTTCATGCAAGGTTGTAAGATTTATTATTCTGCAAAAATCCGACATGGCTCCGGAGCTAGGAATCGTAGAGTGCTTGAATGTGATTATGGGGCTTTTTGTGTCTTGATTATGGTGGTGGCTGTCATCATCTACACAAACAGCATAGAACTGAATACTGTAACTGTGATATCAACACCAATTTTCTGCTTTTGATAATTACACTATAATTATAGAAATACAAACACTGGGGGAGCCGAGTGAAGGGTTTAGGAGCTCGCTTCCCCCCCATCCCAGGCTGGCCTTGAAATGATGATCACTCTGCTTCAGTGTCTTATATTACACTTTGACTTCTTGATTTTTCTGTCTTTCTTTCTTCCTGTCTTTCTTTCTTTCTTTTCTCAGGCAAGGTCTCACTATGTAGCACTGGTCTGGACTTCACAGAGATCCACCTGCTTCTGCCTCCCAAGTTCTGAGATGAAAAGTGTGCACCATCACACCTGGTTTCAGAATATATTTTAAAACATTTCTCCACAGCTAGGTTGTAATTGTACACTCCAGACGGAGTGGGAAAGTGCCTGAAAGATGTCCTCACAGGACTAATAGTCTCAGTAGGTAGATCAGTTTTATAGGCTTACTTAGTGCTGTAATGGACAGGGACATACATTTCAGTATTGCTTGAGAATTTCTATAAATGTGCATGCCATTCTTGCAGCCAGAAAAAGGAAGATCAACATATAGTCTGCCTTCGTGTCACCGCTCAGAGATGTAACATCTTTAAATATTTTTATTTTAGGGGGACATCCTTGTGTCAAGGACAGAGGGTAGCCAGGGGTGTCGTGCTTCAGCAACTGTCTACCTTGTTGTTTGTGACAGGGTTTCCCATTGAGACCTGGGGCTTGCTGATGAAGTAGGCTGGCTAGTCATTGAATTCCAGGAGTCTTTCTATGCCTGTCTTTCAGTTTGTGCCATCCTGTGAGTGGTGAGGGGTCAAATTCAGATTCTCATGCTTTCTTAGCAAGTACTTTACTGACTGAGTCATCCCCCTAGTTCCTAGAAGTATTGCTTTGAGAAGGCTCTCTGGGTGAAGCTGGTCTTCAGCGTAGCAATAAAGGGGATGTATCAAAATGAGAGATCAAGTGGGCTCTATTTCCAACACTGTTATGTAGCCTAGGCTCTTGTGAGTAGAAAGCAAAAGAATCTGGAGAAGTCCCTTGGAGTCTTATAGTGAAGCAGTTTCTTGTGTCTGCATGAAAAGCTAGGATTTTTTTGTCTGATTGTTTTTAAGATGAGGAGCTATATACAACTTGTGAACTGGGAGTAGGTAGGAAGTTTGGTCTGGCAGTGGAATGTCTTCAGTACTGTTGAGAGAGGGTATATTTGGGGGTTCCACAAGAAAAGACTTTTCATTCTCTCCTCCTTCTGCCTGCCCTTCTTCCTGCAGGGGACGCAGTTCTCTCTGGCTGTAGCACACTGAGCCTGCTAACAGCCACACTGCAGCAACTGAACAGAGTGTTTGAACTGTACCTGGGGCCATGGGGCCCTGGCCAGACGGGCTTTGTGGCTCTCCCTTCCCACCCTGCCGACTCACCCAGCATCCTCCAGCTTCAGTTCCTCTTCGATGTGCTGCAGAAAACGCTCTCTCTCAAGGTCCTAGCAGGGGCTAGGGGATGGGATATGCAGAGAGCTGTAGGGAGTGATGGAGGCAGGGCATGAGTAGGGTGTGAGAAGGCTGCAAGGCAGATCCAGATGATGTCAGTCATATGGGTGGTTAGGCTGAGAAAATGGTGCTGATGATAGGGAACTCGCCACGCCTCAGTAACCCGGATGTTCCTCTTTCAGCTGGTCCACACCCCTGGCGTCGGCTTTCCAGGACCCATCAAGATTTTCCCCTTCAAGTCCCTTCGGCAGCTGGAGGTGAGGGAGTATTGGAGCATTGGGTGGGCAGAGCCTAGTGCAAAACAGCCTCTTGGGTGTGAGGCTGGAGGGGCGGCCTCTTGGTTGGAGGTCAGGTCTGAATGTGTTGCTGCTCTTCAGAAATGTCTTTCCCATGAACGCTTCCCTAAACCGTGGCTGGCTTTGCCATCTTTTTCTCCCTCCCCACCAGAAGAGGTGGGGACAAGGCCTTTGTCTTTTGAAGCTTTGCTCACCTCCTCCCCTTTTTTCTCTTGCACCAGCTTCGAGGGGTCCCCATCCACAGCCTGTGTGGCCTGCGTAGCATCTACTCACAGCTAGAGTCTTTGATTTGTAGCAGGAGCATCCAGGCACTAGAGGTAAGGGGGTAGACCCTGATGCCTTGTCCTGAGAAATCCAGAAGGTCAAGCTTTGTGGTTTGCCCTGCTTTCTCCCTCCTTCTGGCCTTTGTGATCCCACAGCACCCTGTACCAGTCCGTATTTAGTCTTACTAAGCTGTATAAATAGTCTAGTGTCTGTCTCTCCAAGGTCCCCATAGTCTGTTCCTTGGGGACAGTGACTTGAGCTTTCTCCAGGTAGACCCTGGTATATATGAATGGTGGACTGGATGATAGAGCCTGTGGCGGAGGGGGGGGTGTTTGAGAATGATGTAGTAGGTGTGCCTGTCCCCTACCCAGGAGCTCTTGTCTGCCTGCGGTGGTGACCTCTGCTCAGCCCTTCCCTGGCTAGCTTTGCTCTCTGCGGACTTCAGCTACAATGCTCTCACCAACTTAGACAGCTCCCTGGTGAGTGCCTGCCTCCTCCCCGGGGAAGGAGCCCCGGGGAGGGAAAGGATGGGTCCTTTGGGAGGAATACCAGCTGTTTGGCAGGTACTCTTGTATAAAGACCCTTGCTGTGCTTCTTTTTCCTGCCCCCGTCAGCGGCTCCTGTCAGCTCTTCGCTTCCTCAACCTGAGCCACAATCATATCCAGGACTGCAGAGGCTTCCTGATGGTAAGCGTGAGCTGCCTACTGCTGATGGACTTGGGCCTTGGAAGGCTCTGCTCTCACTCACTCCCAGATGAGCCTGCACTCCGAGTTTCTCTTGGCCGTAGGTGGAACCACATCCCGAGGGTCTGTACTGCCTGTGGGTTCCCCTCTGGCATACAAGGCAGTTGTGATCTCAGCTCAGAGCACCTAGATGAGCAAATCACTGAGCTTCTTGGTTTGCTCACCTGTAAAGTAGAACTCCCAGGAGTTCTTGTCAAGAGTATCCTGTGTCCTTAGCCTAGTGTATGGCTCAGAAGTGGTAGAGTTTATGATGATGACAGACTTTTTCTCTCTGTCATTTTTGCCCTCCATTAAAAATAAATAAGGCTGCTGGGTGGTAGTGGCACATGCCTTTAATCCCAGCACTTGGGAGGCAGAGGCATGTGGATCTCTGAGTTTGAGGCCACCTTGGTCTACAGAGTGAGTTCTAGGACAGCCAGGCTATGCAGAGAAACCATCTAGAAAAACCAAAATAACGATGATGATGATGATGATGGTGATGATGAGTACTTGTTAAAGTAGTAGGGGCATATTTCAGTCTCTTAAAATAGGGAGGAGGGTTCAAAGTGAACTACTGAGTGGAATGAAGGAAGAGGGAAGGGCACGGGGTCATCTCCACACTCACAACTGGGAACTTACAAGTTGGGAAGTGGCTGTGGGTCCACATGAGGTACGTCTGGGTTTTCTCACTGACTGCTAGGTCCCTCTCGTCCCTCAGAGACTGGCCCTGTCTTCCAGTGGTGGCCAAAGAAAACAGGATCTCTCTGGCTGCTTTAAGTGTTCCTCAGAGCCTTGTCTCCTTCCAGGCAGGAACTTGGTAGGTTGGTGTCACCGTCCAGGGTGTAGCCTGGAACTGTTAGGAACGTGCTAGTGTTTTTTCAGGTCTTCCAGCACAGGGTAGAAGATATCACTTGTGTTGAGTCTGCAGTTTCTATAGGCCAAGGTAGATTTGAGAAGATGGTACAGAAGACCTTGCCTAGAGCTTTGTCAAGTTGAGGACTTTGTCTCCTCACCCACTTCCAGGATTTATCCGAGCTGTACCATTTGGACATCTCCTATAATCACCTGCACTTGGTGCCAAGAGTGGGACCTTCAGGGGCTGCCCTGGGGATTTTGATACTGCGAGCCAATGAGCTTCGGAGCCTTCAGGGTAAGCAGGAAATGTGTGTAGGGTGGGGTCACTCTAGAAGGGAATTGGATGAGTGTGGCTCAGGTTGACCCATAGACCACCTGCATGTAGATCAGTGGTTCTCAACCTTCCTAATGCTGTGACTCTTAATACAGTTCCTCATGTTGTGGTGACCTGCCCCAACCATAAAATTATTTCATTGCTACTTCAGACTGTAGTTTTTCTACTGTTATGAATCATAATGGAAATGTCTGATGTGTAACCCCAAAGAGGTTGCGACCCACAGGTTGAGAACTGCTGATCTAGAGCCTCATGAGGATTTAGAGGTAGGGCTGTGGTGCAAAGATCTGTCCTCCTCCTCCTGCTGTCCTCAGCATTCAGACCACCACACCCTCTTACCCCCAGCATGCCTCCACAACGCCTCTTCCTCCTCCTCTCCTCTGCCCTAGGCTTGGAGCAACTGAGGAACCTGAGGCACCTTGATGTGGCCTATAACCTTCTAGAAGGTCACACTGAGTTGTCACCACTGTGGCTGCTGGCTGAGCTCCGTAAGGTGAGACATGAGTGCCTTAAGGGCCTGGGAGCCACCTTCAGATCTGGGTCTCCTTGTGCCTTCACATCGGGAGGCTCTCTGGCCTACTCACCCTCCTCTTCTACCCTTCAGCTCTATCTGGAAGGTAACCCATTATGGTTCCACCCGGCACATCGTGCAAATACTGCTCAGTACTTGTCACCTCGGGCCAGAGATGCTGCTCATGGCGTGAGTGCTTATCTAGTGTCTATCCTTCTTCGACTGTACCCCCTCACCATTCGTGAGTGAGAGGCCAAAGACCTAGTCACTCGGGTGCTGTTAATATCTGGAGGAGTCATTGGCCACGGGCTCTGTCTCAAATTCTGTTCTCTCCTATCTCTTGCACAGTTCCTGCTTGATGGTGAGGTTTTGTCACCGAAGGATCTTCAGGTTAGTCTAGTGGGGGTGGGATGAGGGAGGACTCATGGGATGACTGGAAGGGAGGGCAGTAGCTCAGGAGACAGCAGAGGTAGGAAAGGTTTTCCTGGTTAGTGGAAAGTGGTCATTTTCTTGGTTAGCTCATGCAGACAGAGGTGTTCCCTTGGTTCTGATCTCCTTCCTGTTGTCACAAAGCAGACTTCAGAATCTTCAGGGCTTGGTCCCATGACCCAGCCTCCATCCTGGCCAGTGGGGAGTACCACTGAAACCTCAGGTGGCCCTGAGTTGAGTGATAGCCTCTCGTCAGGGGGCATTGTGGCCCAGGCCCCGCTTCGTAAGGTTAAGGTAAGTGGCATCTTCTGTTTGGGCCTGGGGGGTTGGGTGGTCTCTTTACAGGCCTTGTAGGTATTTGGTAGGCCAGCAGCAGTAAGGCCTTGTCCTTGTTGGTACTTGGCTCTCTCCGATAGGTTAGATAGGTGGCCATGGATGGCCAGGCTAAAGGCTCTGGCTTTCATACAACTCCATCTGTCTGTCCAAACTAGAGCCGAGTCCGTGTGAGGAGGGCTAGCATCTCTGAGCCCAGTGACACAGACCCGGAGCTCCGAACTCTGGATCCCTCCCCAGCTGGTAAGTTGACCCTCCCTGCTTCCTCCCTTCCCACCTCCCTTCAAGTCTCTCTAATCTTGATGTTGCTTTGTAGGTGTCGTATGAGAACTTGATTTTGGGGTGGTGTGGAAAAAGGGCCCCTCAATCCTTTTTTTTTTTTTTTTTAGTTTAGGTTAAAGAGGAGGGTCTACTTCAGGCAGCATTCTCCTAAGGAACACAGGTTTCATAGGGTGCTAAAGATTGTGTAAGAAAGAGGCTTTAAAAGTGGCCAGAACCATTTGGAAGTATAACGTGAAACAAGGTTTTTTTTTTTTAAGATTTATTTATTTATTATGTATACAGTGTTCTGTCTGTATGCATGCATGCCAGAAGAGGAAACCAGATCTCATTATAGATGGCTGTGAGCTACCATGTGGTTGCTGGGAATTGAACTCAGGACCTCTGGAAGAGCAGTCAGTGCTCTTAACCTCTGAGCCATCTCTCCAGCCCTTGTTTTTTGTTTTTTTTTTTCTACAAGTCATCTCAGGGTCTTAGATACATGGGCATGTTTTGTGAACCTCCACAAGTTTTGTTTGGTGTGCGGTTCTGCATGGCTTATGATCACATTCCTTGGGACACACCTGAGGACACCCTGCGGAGGGGAGGCCTATTGAGGAGAAGCCATAGAAAGAGGCTGGGGTCACCTAGGGTAGGGCTGGGCCTCAGCTCTATGTCCTCCTCCACCCCAGGATGGTTTGTGCAACAACACCGGGAGCTGGAGCTGCTGAACAGCTTTCGGGAGCGGTTTGGCTGTGACTGGCTGCAGTATAGGAGCCACCTGGAGACCTTGGGGAGCCCCCCTCTCGCCATCACCAAGACTCCTGCCCTTAGCACCCCTCTTCTGGATGCCCAGAGCCTGGAGACTGCATGCAGCCCTGCAGCCACAGGGGGAGCTGGAGACACTGAGGAATCACCACAGAAGGTGTCAGAGGGCAGGGTGGGGCCGGAGCCGCTTGAAGAAGAGAGGGAAGAGCAAGCCAAAGAAGAGGAATCCAGAGAGGACCTGGAGGAGGAAGGGGAGCAGGAGCAGGAGGAAGTGGAAGGTGAGAGGCTGTCACCATCGTGGGGATGGGGACAAATGGTATTGGTATGTCAGGAGGGCTGTGGAGAGGCCAGGCTGGGCAACCTCTCACGGGAGAGCAGAGGACCTGACCCGTTCTTCACTCCAGTTCTCTCTTGGCCTCTCTGCAGCGGAGCTCTGTCGCCCCTTGTTGGTGTGTCCCCTGCAGGGGCTTGAGGGCATGCAGGGCAAAGAATGCTTTCTCCGAGTCACTTCTGCGCACTTGTTTGAGGTGGAGCTCCGGGCAGCTCGGACTCTGGAGCGATTGGAGCTACAGAGCCTGGTGGCAGCTGAGCTGGAGCCAGAGACTGAGATTCAAAGAGAACAGGTGCCCGAGGTGAGTTGTGGGATCGGGGGCTTGGGAAGAGGTGCTTGGCTTATCCAGACTCATCTTTGACAACCTGTTGGCTCTGTGTGTCAGGCGCTGGGCTGGGTGCTTTCCGCTTCTCTCATGAGTACTTGGAGCCAAGCAGTGCTCTGGGTGTGTGAAGGGCTGTAGCGTGGAGCTTGGGAGGGTGGGCTAAAGAATGGTTTCTGTGCAAGGGCTTGTGTCAGCGCCAGTGTTGGGGGCCAGAGTTAACCATTTAGCCCTGACTCCTTTTCCTCCTGCCCACTGCTGGGTTCTTTCTTCCTGCACAGGGCTCAGGTCCACCCCCTGGGGCTCCAGTTCTTGTTCTACGCTTTTCCTACATTTGTCCTGACCGGCAGTTGCGTCGCTATGCAGTGCTGGAGCCAGAGGCCCATGAGGCCATCCAGGTGCTGAGATCCAGAGGCTGATGGGAAGAGTAGCGGGAGCAGGTCTGGGCTGGAGGGTCTGGGGTCTGCCCGGCAGTTCCACCAGGGTCTGCCATCTCACAGCTAGCTGCCCTCTGACCCACCTCCTTTCAGGAGCTGCTCGCTGTGCTGACCCCGTTCACCAGTGTGAGAGAGCAGCAGCCTGGGGAGGCCAAGGACCCATGGGGGGCCAGGTGCCAGTGTCTGCGTTGCAGCTGTGAGTTCAAGCCAGAGGAGCCCAGGTTGGGACTGGAGAGTGAGGAAGGCTGGAAGCCTCTGTTTCAAAACCCAGGTACCAGCTGTGCCCTTGATCCACACAGCTCCCCACTGCAGGGAAAGTGTCTCTGAGAGGAGTGTGCAGAGGGAGCCCTGGGGAAGAGGGCCTTAGGGGAATGGCAGCAACTGTTGGCAGCGGGGAGAAACACAACTGCCTGCCTGCTGTGTTAAACAGCAGAACCGGGAGAGTCAGAGTCGGGAGTGCTATTTGGGAGTGTGCTTAAACATATTCATTATTTTTTCATAACTTGATGGCTTTTGGCTGTTCTGGGACACCATTTCAGGAATGGCATAAGGCCGAATGAGCCCTCAGTGCAGTGGCAGGCTGTCATGAGCCCTCTGTGTAGTGGCTGTTGAGTGAGCTGCTTTGGGGGTTGGTACAAGTTGACCTTCCCTGACTGACCTTGTGAGCTACTTGATAGGATGCAGTGCTTTGTGGCATCTTTTTATATTCTGCCCTTGGGATTGCTCCACTGTGGGCCAGCCAAACAATAGGGACTTTGAAGATGCGAAAGGAGGAAGGGCAACTCTGGGTAACAGCTGTGTGAGATGCAGTTTTTATCAGCCACACTTCTTGGCAGCAGACATGGCAGGATTACGTTATTTTTTTTCCAGAAATACTCCTGTGCTATTGACTGTCGTGAGCCTGGCCTAGCAGGCTTAGCAGTGGATATCACAGCCCTTCCTGGCTCCTGGCTATCCTCCATAGGTACTGTGGCTTCTGCAGTCCTCCTGTGGTGAATTTTCTCTATTAAGGTTTTTCGTGTTTTGAGACCAAGCCTCATATTGAGCAAGGCTGGCCTCAAGCTCCTATGTGGCTGAAGCTAGCCTTGGATTTGTGATAGTCCCCCTGTCTCAGTCTCTTGAATACTGTCATTACAGGTGTGTGCTACCTTGTCCAGCTTTCTTGGGAGATTTGAATATGACACTAGAGCACACGCATAGCCCCTAGCATAAACGGAGATCCTTCATATGTGGTAGCTTCTGTTGGTATCTCCAGCTATTTAAGTGTAGACAGGGTGTATAAGTTGTTTAGTTTTTTTCTTATTTGCAGAATGGGTAGGAAAAGTTTTCATAGGGCTGCCACATGGTAATATTGATGAGGGGGCTAGCTTGTGCCTAGAGTGTTGTAGCCACTCAGTGTCTGTCTCCTCATTGTTCATCCACATCTTCACTCCTTATCTGCATCCACTCACCCATCCTGCCAGCTCCTTGAGGCAGACATGACTTTCATTCTCATCTTACAGATAGTAGTAGTCAGGCTCAGAGCAGAGCGCAGGTGACTGGTCCCCAGTTATCCATCTATTGCTAATAAGGCCGGGATTTAGACCCAATGGGCCCAAATGCCTCCTTGCCTTCACCAGTCTGTTGATTTTTGTCTTTGTTGTTATCATTATAATTAGTGTGTGTGTGTGTGTGTGTGTGTGTGTGTGTGTTATATGTATCTGTTCATGTAGCTGTCTGCATGTGGAGGCCAGAGATAGATTGACATTGGGTGTCTTCCTCTGTCACTCTCTACCTTATTTTTTGGGATACTCAATCTCTCACTGAACTTGGAGCTCATCAGTTTGGCTAGACTGCCTGGCCAGTGAGCTCCAGGGATCTGCCTGTCTCTTCCCTAGAACACTGGGGTTACAGGTCCATGGCACTGCACTGCTTTTACCTAGGGTCTGGGGACCTGTACTCAGATCCTCATGCTTGTGTGGGAGGTACTGCTTGGATTGAACCATCTCCCTTGCTCCTAATTTTGGTTTTCCAGACATTGCTAGTAAAGCACTGATGTGCTTGATTAACCCAAGGCTGTGGGAGGGGACCAGAGCAGGACCTGGCATCCAGAAGGTGGGATGCATTTTTAGGAGGCTGTTGGCCATGGGCAAGCTTAGCCCTTATTGGGATGGGGAGGGATAGGTTAGAGACTATGCTTGGAGATGGGAGTGGGATGTTGGGGATGGTGGCTGTCACTGGAGCTGAGGAAGACTGGACGGTGGCAGGGGGTGTAATGAGCGTGGTGAGCCGTGCCCTTGGGAGACTCACAGGGTCTCTGTCCCTCCCTCCAGAATCTCCTGTTGTGTGTCCAAACTGTGGGAGTGACCATGTGGTTCTCTTGGCCATGTCTGGGGAAATTCCTGATAGAGAGCAGAACCAGGGAGAGAAACCACCAGATCCCTCTGGGTTCCCTGACCCTGTCCGTGACCTTGCTAACCACAGTGGCCATCCCAGTGGGTCTGAGGGCGCCCCACCTCAGACATCCATATCCCATGGCCGTAGCAGCTGGAGCCTCAGTCCAAGTGAGTATAGGTGAACCACGGTGGAGGTGTGTTTGGGGGAGTTAAGTTGGAGCTGTGGCCTCGCAGAGTCAGGCTGATGGCCTGTTGATTGCTCATAGCTCCTGGACAGTCTGGTCTTCGCTCTGTGGACCACCGCCTCCGACTCTTCCTGGATGTTGAGGTGTTCAGTGACTCAGAGGAGGAGTTCCAGTGCTGTACCAAGGTCTGTGCCACCCGCTGACCCATGGCCATGGGCATCAAGTTGAATGCTTGGGTTTCAGCTGCAGTAGATATTTGCTGTTTGGCTATGGGAATGCTCCTTCACACTTGAGGTCCAGTTGTCCCCATCCAGGTAGGGATAATGCTCCTTGACTTAGAGGGGGGGCTACGAGCTGACATCTGTCACTCGGCACAGCCCAGCGCCTGGCACTTGGTAAATGGGTCCTCTTGCTAGTACATATGATATCACTCCTTCATGTCCAGGACACTCAGGCTCTGCCATTTGGCAGTCCTGTTCTCAGTCTTGGAGAATCAGGATCATGCAGTGTGAAGCTGCTGCAGTCAGAGCAAGGTCCTAGAGGCACTGGTTTTTCATCCAGTCTGAGTGGATCCATGCTCGAGGGTCTAGGGAAAGGAGGCTGTAAATGTACAGAGGCCCAAGAGAAAGTAGCTCGTGGGAAAGATAGGACAGCCAGGGTGCAGGGTTAGAGGCAGGTGTCCTGAGGGGAGTCTATCAGGCTAGGTAGTTCAGAAACAACCTGCTGTGTCTGCCAGGAAGTTTGGATGGGATGCAGGGACTACCCAGAGGATTTGAAGCAGGGGAGTGATGGTCAAGTTTGTTACTTAGGTTAGTCTTGACTGAGTGTGGAGGATGGGGTGGAAACATTGAGAGGACACTGAGGAGGCCTGCTAAGAGATCCTGGGGCTGGCGGGAGGGCAGGCTACGGCTCAAGAACAGAGTGATGAGGAGAGGCTGGTGACCGCTATAGAAACGGGTCGGGATGCTTCGGTCTGGGACCTGTCTTCGTGGTTTTATTTTCTGGTTTCTCATCAACTTTCCCTTCCTCTAGGTGCCAGTGGCATTAGCAGGCCACACAGGGGAGTGTCTGTGCCTTGTGGTTGTGTCTGACCACAGGCTTTACCTGTTGAAGGTGACAGGGGCCATCTGGTGAGTGTGCCAGGTGTACAGCTGGGGCAGCATTAAATGCCGCCAGTCTCATCCTGCCAGCCTCTTTATCTCCGCCATCCTCTCTCTCCTCAGCGGGCCTCCTGCTAATTGGCTCCAGCCCACCCTGGCCATTCCTCTGCAGGATCTGAGTGGCATGGAGCTTGGCCTCGCAGGCCAGAGCCTCCGGCTAGAGTGGGCAGCTGGGACCGGCAGCTGTGTACTGCTGCCCCGAGATGCCAGGCATTGCCGTGCCTTCCTTGAGGAGCTCACTGGTGAGGGAGAGGCTGGGAGGGATGGGCTTAGAGGTCAAGCTTTCAGGGCCTGCTTCTCAATTTGACACTCACCAGTAGACTGAGGTCATGGGAGTCCCTGCTCCTTCAACCCCCACAGTAGTTTTTGAGGTCCCGTATTACAGAGAATAGCCAGGGTCAAGAGGCCTCTGAGGTTCCTGTCTCTGGTGGCTCTATCCAGGTGTCTTGCAGTCTTTGCCTCGCACCCAGAGGAACTGCATCAGTGCCACGGAGGAGGAGGTGACCCCGAAGCATCGGCTCTGGTGAGTCAGCAGGAGGTTAGGGTTGGTGGTGTCTAAGTCTTCTCTTGACAGACTCCAGACACAGCCCTGTCCTCGTGCCCACACCTACCCACCTACTCCCATTCCTTGAAGCCCGTCCTTGCCTGGCTGATTCTCTTCTGTGTCTGCCGTGGCCCCACAGGCCGCTGCTGAGAAAAGATACTTCTGCAGAGGTTCCCCAGTTTTTCTACCTTCGGACCTTCCTGGCTGAAGGTAAGACCGATGCGGCAGACGTGTCCCTGGCTTCTGCTCCCCATGCTGCCCTGGCTCGTCCCCTATTGTCTCTGTAGTCCCCATGTAGTGATTTGTCACTCTCTGGAATTTGGAATCCTCACCTTTGCAGGCATAACCACATGGTAGGCTGGTGTTTCCTACTTCTCCAGGTGGGGTCAGGGGGTTCCTCAGAGCTTCAGCTGTCCCGAACCTTAGCTTTGGCATCCAACCCTCCTAAAGTGGGAAGATTGACTGGATATGTCCCACTCATCCTGCCAAGAGACTCTGGGCCCTTGATTGGGTTGACTGGTGTGGTAGCTCCCTCAATATAGGTCTTCAGGGCTTTTGGTGGTTAGGGGTCCCTGGAGTTTGTGGAAGCATAGTGCTGACTTGTGGTTCACTCTTAGTGTGGCTCACGCCTCTTCTCTAGGACACCAGTCCTGGGGTCTAGGCCTGTCATAGCCTTTCACTCTGGGTCATCTTGCCTCTCTCCCTGCAGGTTCCTCTACCTGCCCTGTGTCCCTGTTGCTGACGCTGTCCACACTGTACCTATTAGATGAAGACCCTGCAGGGTCCCAGGCAGAACCCACACTCCCAGTGGTGTCTGGGGAAGCCTCTGAGCAGGCCCCTCCTCTGGGGCCAGGTTCTCCCCTGCAGGTCAGGGAACAGCAACCACTCAGCAGTCTGAGCTCTGTGCAACTGTATCGAACAAGCCCTTTGGACTTGCGGCTGATCTTCTATGATGAGGTAGGGTGTGTGTGTGTGTGTGTGTGTGTGTGTGTGTGTGTGTGTGTGTACAATGTAGAAAGACATCTAGGGGTATTGGTTCAGGATGGTCCTGAGGGAGGAACAGGCATACAGTGGAGACAGAGTCTGGATGTGAGGACCTGGGTTTGGATAAGCCCCGTGTAGAAAGCAGTAGTCAGCAGTGGGACTGTGTTGGCCTTGGAACCCTGGACTGAAATACCTAGCCGGTATGAGTTGGTGTCATCAGCCTGCCCACTGTATGCTCACTGTTTGACCTTCACAACTCCAGCATGAGGAGGAGGTGCTATTATTGGCCCTGGAATACAAATGATATTACTGAAGTTTGGAGACATGAACAAGCTTGCACAGGTCGCAAGGGTTAGAGACAGGAATTGAACCTGCACAGTTCTTGGAATTGACTCTAGAGCTCACATTCCCTACAGCATGGAAGACTAGAGTGGGACAATGAACACCAGCCCTCTAGAGCCTGCAGTCAGTGATGACTAGACTGTCTTCAAGGCTCAGAGTCAGCCTTTGATGCAGAGTCACAAAGATGGGGGGTGGGGGGAGGGGGAGGAAGAGCCCCTAAAAGCCAAGGAGGGTGTGGAGTCCTCTCCTAAGACTTCCCTGGCCTCTTGGCTTGTCTTCTCCTGTGTCTCCCCTTGCCAACCACTCGATTTACCAGGTGTCTCGACTGGAGAGTTTCTGGGCACTCCGTGTTGTGTGTGGGGAGCAGCTGACAGCCCTCTTGGCCTGGATCCGGGAGCCCTGGGAAGAGTTGTTCTCCATTGGACTCCGGACTGTAACCCAGGAGGCTCTGGACCTCGACCGATGAGGGTCTCCACTGAGCTCGCACTGACTCAGGAGTTGCACTGCAAAAGCCCCTTCTCCTGATCTCTGGGTCTGTCTTCTTGCCTGGCTGTGGACCTCTCCAGCGCTTGGCCACTGGCTAGTGAGGCCCCAGATGACCCACAGCTTAAGAGAAGGACAAGAGAAATGATCAGGCCCTTGGGTGATCTGTCTCGTAGAACAGGCTCAGTGGTCAGTGAAAACGTTTCTCCAGCACTTTCTCTCAGGTATCAGTAAAGTTGTTTCCATGCTAAGTGTCATGGGTGGTACGCAGAAATGTCACCCATAAAGCCTGCCATCCCCGAATCTCTTCCCGGAAGCACGCTTGTTTGCACTATGAAACCTGTCTCCAGGCCTGCTCTAGCGAAGTAGGACTACTGACCCGGATACGCCCAGTCCTCAAGCAGGTTGTGACCTATCTTGTGGCCTTGCATGAGATCTCTGCCAGTCAAAGAGCTGGACCTCTTCAGACTTTTTGCTCTTCTCTTTTGAGACAGGGTCTCACCGTGTAACCTTGCTGGCCTGGAACTCACTCTGTAGAGCAGGCTGGCCTTGAGCTCATAGAATCTGCCTGCCTCTGCCTCTTAGTGCTGGGATTAATGATGTGAGCCACCAGTTGTGGGAAAATTGTGAACTTCCCCTGCTCCCCCAAGTTTACATTTTAGATAAAGACCTGCAATAAAAAGTGAGACTCTGTAATTGTTGACTCTGTAAGTTTCCTGTGGACCCAAGCATTCATTGTACTGTCCAGAATTTCAGTGCGTATACACACTTATGTACACAGTTCCCCTAAGAAGGAAGAGTTAGTTCAGCTACTCAACCAAGAGACTGACTCTTAGGATTACTTTCTCCCAGGCAATGCCCTCTCTGGCCTGGTGGGAGAGTAAGGGGGAGATGCTGAGCCTGGGCCTGGCCAGTGAGAGGTGTTCCTGGAATAGTTGTCCTCTGGTAATGCCTTCAGAGGACCCAGACAGGCCTATGCAGAAGCTCACAAAGTAGTCTCACCTACTTCTGTTTTGCTCAGAGCTGCCCTGAATTCTTAATTGAAGTAAATTAAAACTTCCCAAAACTATTAGTCCACTTTCTAAGTGGTGTGCATGGCGCCTTCCCATCCACGACGTCATGCTGTCTAGAAGCAAGAACCTGAGGAAGGCCTGCCCAGCCTCTGGCCCAAAGCCACGTTTTTGCATAGGTCTCTTAGCAAGTGAGTTTCCAGAAATAGGTCACAGTGCAGTTGGGACAGAAGCATCTCCCGTCTTTGGGGCTGATGTGCAATGAAGTGTGAGCCTGGAGAGTCAGAGAAACATCTTCCAATTCTTTGTGCGTCTAGTGTCTGGGAACATCTTTGTTTAACAATGACATCTCTTGGCAGCCTTGTGGAAGGCTGCTCTTGCTTTTGTGACCCAGAAGACAGATTATCAGGCCTGAGGCCATCACCACTTAGGGAGGTGTTTCACCCTTTAACTTTGTGCCTCACCGGAAAGCAGGGCCCCAGGGAGCTGCATCTCCTCCCCAGAGCCTGTCCTGCTCTGAGTAGGGTGATTGCTTTGCTACTGACTGTAGGCACTTGCCTCACACGCTCTGGACTGTCCCCAGAGATCAATTGGTCCAGTCAGTGTGCCCCTGCCCCCTGCCTGCCCAGCAAGTGTATATCGATTGGCTGGCCTCTGCATGGCCTTAGGCTGGCATGAAGAACACCCAGCAGAGGTTTGGTGGCTCCTGAAAAGCAGTGAAGATTCTGAAACAGCCAAACACTGCTCTGCATCTTCCATGAAAGGGGTAAAGGGGTAAAGGGGTAGGGAAGGGGAGAATGGGTTACTTCCTCTCACTCCCTCCCTCCCTCCCTTCTTATTTATTTATTTGTTTATTTATTTTCAGCCCTGGCTGCCCTAGAACTTGCTTTGTAGACCAAGCTGGCCTTGAACTAGCAATCCACTTGCATCTACCTCCCTAGTGCTGGGATTAGAGGCGTGTGCTACCACTCCTGGCTTGAGGGTTTGCTTTTTTTGTTTTGTTTGAGACAGGTTTTCTCTTTGACTGTCCTAGAACTCTGTTACCAGACTGGCCCTCCTGAGATTCTCCTGCCTCTGCCTCTCGAGTGCTGGAATTAAAAGTGTGTGCCACCATGGCCCAGCAACAGGTTATTTTTCAAAAAGAAAGTTTAAATCCTCCAAATTACAGGTCCAAAACTTGTTTAAATTTTATTGTAAGTCTTAAGGGGTCAATGGACAAACAGTATAGGACTGGCCAGTTCAAGAACCCATCTGTCTCTACAGGAGGTGGTCCTAGTTTGGCAGGACTGTCCTGGTGGGTTAGCTGCACCTAGAACTCCAGTCAGGGTTCTATGTTTGGTGCTTTATCTACCTGAGTGCATGCAGTATTTTTAATCCATCTACAAGGGTTAGTGTGGTGTGGTTGTAGTGTGGCAAAAATGCAGGATCTAGAACTATGCCTTAGTTTTATGATTCACTGCTTACTGTGGACAAATCACTTCTCTTTGCTTGCTCATCTGCAGTGTGGAACTGAGCCTAACCAATAACCTGCCTACTTCACAGAGGTGTGGAACATACTTGGAAGTGCTGTACAAACCTTAGTGCGTTCAATAAATGCGGCCTATAAAGCCTACCTGCTGGTTGTCACCAGGCTTTTTCTTTTGGGTCACCAAGCAGCTCCCAAATCATGACTTGGTGACTTTTTAGTAGTTATGAATGCTTAGCCTAGTTTAGCTTTGTTTCTTGCTAGTTCTTATGACTTAACCTGTTTCTCTTCATCTGTGTTTTGCCTCTGGGCTCTTTACCTTTCTTTCTGTTTGTCCTACTCGATGTTTGCTGGCTGGCAGCTACCTGGCTGGCCCCAGGCATCTCCCTCACTGTCTCCCTCATCCTCTCCTCTCTTCTCTTATTTTTTGAGCCTAGAGCAATCCTCCTACTTACTCTCTGCCCACCAGCTCTACCTTTCCCTCTTCTGTCCAGCTATTGACCATTCAGCTTTTTATTAGAACAGTCAGGTGCCTTAGGCAGGCAAGGCGAAACAGCAACACATTTTATATAATTAAACAAAGGCAATACACCTTTACACATAAAGTATTATTCCACAGCATAAACAAATAACACATTTTTACATAGCTAAATATTCCGCAGGATAAACAAATGTAACACATCTTTGCCCAGTTAAAATAATACTCCACAGCACCCAGAAGCCTAGGAATGTTCTTTGTAATTGGAAGAGTGGATGCTTGCATCTTATTGCCCATGTGTTTATGGGTGGACATTTTCCCAGCACACCTCGGAGGAAACTCAAGACACTTCTGGACATAGCATGAGTCAGGGCATGTTTTTTTCCTTGGCCTATCCTTTTGTCATTTGATCATTTTGTACTTACTGACTTCTCTGGCCTCCGCAGAAAACATTCTTTAGTTTATTGGTTACTATAATTACTTGTGCACTTGCTTTCAACTCCACAGATATTTACTGAACACTTCAGAGGTTCCTGGCTCTGTGCAGGGGAGGGATGCAGGAAGAAATCAGATATGTTTCTTTTTCAGGGTCTGGTTATGTAACTCTGGCTGGTCATGAACTTGAGAGCCTCCTGTCTCAGCCTTCTGAGTACTGGGATTATAGGTCTGAACCAACATGAATTGCATAGTGACTGTGTTTAAGGACATACTTTATGCTGGTCTGTGTACAAAGTTGATGTTATTATGACTGCCCTGGGGAGATCTACATTTTACAGGTGAGGAAGATGGGGTGGTCTCACTTGGACCCTCTGTTTACAGACAGGGTCTGTGCCGTCTCAAACCGTATGGCCTTTTTTAGGCCTTATAAAATGCCTATCCTTTTCAGGTGTCAATCTTTTCATATGTTCCCTGGTGGCATATCCTTCAGGTCACTGCTTAATTGTCACCTTAAAGAGGATCGCTCTGGTCCTGCCACTTGAATCTCCTTTGTTACTGGGCTGTTCCTTCATGGTACTTGCTGTGGATGCGTCATAATAAAAAGTAGTGTTTGCTCACTGACTGTAACCAAATGTACTCACAACACGTGGCATGGAGTATAGGTAGAATGTGTGGGTCTGAACTTGGCTCCTGTCCTGTGGATTTGACGGAGCTCCCTGACTTGGCTCTTTTCCCTTTATGCCATGGGGGAACTCCTTCTGTTTTCTTGGCTGCAGAGGGCAAAGGTCACTACTCCCCAGCTTCTGGCCAAGCTCTTTCTCTTGCTGGTTCACCCCCTTTCCTTCCTTTGAAAACACCCTTGACTGGTGCAGGAGGAACCCAAGGGCAGGGAGTCTGTCAGGTTGTCTCTGCCTTTTCTCCCACCTGTTTCCTCAAAACAAAACTCAAGCAAGCCACTGGTTCAGGGAGGACAGAAGAGCATGAGGGCACAGGGATATTTCTCTCGGCTCGTCATCCTCACATAAGCGTGTCAGGGATGCTGGTCTGGAAGGCGGGTTCTGCTGGGAAAGATGACCAGCAGGGACAGTGGTAGTGTACAGACATTGGATTTGTGTCACAGCCAAGGCCAGGCACGTGTGGATGTTGAGATAAGCCACCACAGAGTAACAAAACTGGTGAATAAGAGTGACAGTTATTGAACACCTGTTCTGTGCCAAGTGTTGAAGTGCTATTAAATGACAACATCTCTAACTCCAGAGCCTGAGCCCTTCCTCAGTAACACCTTATCTGTGAATGCCTGATCATGAACCCACTCAGTAGCCACTGGTCCTGAATGCTATGCTTTGGGGAGCAGGGAGATAATTTTGATAAAAGTCTAAGTCACAATCTGAACTCAGTGAGTCCATACCCACTGTATAAATTTAGGATAGGCAATGTAAGGATCGGTTTATTGGTATTGGGGTACAATTCAGTGGTGGAATACTCTCCTGGCAAGTGTGAATCCCTGGGTTCAAACCCCTAGGAAATGAAAAGAAAGTTTGCTTTATCGGCCAAAGAGTGCAAAGCCATTCTCAGTCTGTGATATTTAGGGTTAAATGTTAGACACGATGCCAGAGCTCTGGGGGCTCCTTTGGCTATGTTGCTTATGGGTCTTGAATCTTGAGCAAGCTGTTTATACTTCATGAGCCTTGGTTGTTGTTTTTTTTTTTTCTGGGTTTCTCTGTGTAGGTTGGAGCTTGTCCTGGAACTCACTTTGTAGACCAGGCTGGCCTCAGACTCACAGATATTCACCTGCCTCTGCCTCCTGAGTGCTGGTATTAAAGGCAAAGTGTGCAATACTATACTCGTCTGAGCCTTATTTTTTTTTTAACCTGTTAAGTAGAGGGTTGCTGTGAGGGACCATGAGAGTATCACAGTGCCTTGTAAGTTGGAAAGTACCACTTAAATTCCAGGGCAAAAAGTTATCTTGGCTTGTTAAGTGTAAAGAATGTGCCATTTGTCTGGCATTATAGCAAGGCTGCAGTGGTTGCTGACACTCTCTGAGCTTCACCATACTACCCAAGGACAGGAGACAAGAAGAAAGATGCTGGAAAGTTGGCCAAGATAGACAAAGGCCCAGTAAACAAGTCTGAGGGTAAAGCCAAAGTGAAGACATCCAAAGACGAAGTTCATGACAAGCTCAATATCCCAACCCCTTTCGACAAAGCTATGTATGACAAACTGTAAGGAAGTTCCCATCGATAAGTTTATCACTCCAGTGGTGGTCTCTGAGAGACTGAATATTTGTGGTTCTTTGACTAGGGCA